CGCGGTCAAAGCGCCGACTCCTGTTCCGGCTCCCGACACTTTGAGCTCACCTACGTGTGTCTGATAGCTGGGATTCAGGAGGGTAATACCACGAGGCCCGGCGTAATTACCATTCTCTTGACCAATTTTGAACACCTTCTACTTTAAAAAAGTCTCTGTAAAAGTCCTCGGCTGATACTTGGCGCCCAGTTCAAGACTCACTTTTTTTATGTGTGTACGCGCGGCGACAACTTCAATGTTGTGTGTCCAGAAATGATGCGATGGATGTTTTTATTCCGAATTGTCCTTTCGCTTGATTGGCTCAAATGTACGTCCACTGAATTTGACAGAGCAAATGTTTCTGTTCTCCAAGCAGATTCCGCCCCTTGACTGATTTCACAGAACCGGCGCCCCTTTGAAGAAGAAACAAGAGAAGGGGGGAGAGGGGGGAGACGTTGCTTCCTTTCTCTCCGAGTAGCTGTGAAGACAAGTACTTCACAGGAAATATACAAAGACCGAGGGGAGCTGACAGTGCTTTGTTAGGGCTGGAAATGACGAACTGAAAGAAAGGCCTCAAAGCCCGAAGGCGGAGGAGGAAATGTAAAAGTGAGAATAATCAAAAAATAGATTTATTGTACTTATTCTAAAGCTGTCACACCTTTTTTTTTTTTTTACAGAAAAGCAACACAGTTTTAATTAAATAGGTCAATCATTTCCCCTCAGCTCTGACATGCAGTATGATTGCCTCCTTCAAAGTACCAAACAAGGTGGTAATTAAGAACTTTACACGTCAAAGCGTTTGGGAAGTGGCAGAAACTTTGCTGCTGCGAGTCGTGGTTTTTATGACGCAGCTCATCCTGAGAGCGGCATTTCAAACGTGCATGCAGGACTAGACGCGACACAAATCGGAAGATCGGAAAACTGGAAATTAAACGCAATGCCTCCTCCTCCAGAGCCGGCCCAGTGGCCTAAGAACTTCACTTTATCCTAATAGTTCAAATGACGAGCGGAGCTGAGGGGGGAGTAATCAAGCTGCTCATAATTGTTTTTGAGTTAAGTCTTTAATGGTCCATCCAGAAGCCAGATTATGGTTATTGTCAACGCAAAGGGCAATTGCCTCACACCCATCAATCATTCGGAACTTTCTTCTCTCCCCTTCGGGGCATTTATCATGGATTTTCTTTTGCCAGCGGACACACAATTATGATTGATGATGGTAAAAGAAATAGGCTGCGAGGCTCGACGCAGTCAATACAACCTGTAGGGCTTGTAAGATGCATTTGAGGGATTTAACGGGCAGGAAAGGTAACCTTTCCTTCAGAGGTCCGAGACAACATACCGAGTGAGGCCGGCAAATGCCACAGACAGCATTGTTTATGACGGATTATCTAGTCAGGCCTTCTGGGTGGGATGATTGTGACCCCCCCAATATGAGCACAGATACACATCAGCAACCATGTAAAGCCCCAAATGGTTCCTGGAAGGCGCCGCATGCATACAAGGCCCCTTCACTCCGTAAATCCACGGTTAATCACTTCCACAGATGTTTCTACTGGTCCGCCTGACATTTTCTCTCACATTTTTTTCCTCTTTCCCACCCCCATTTTTTTTTCTGGGTTAGGGTTCTTGAAGACTTTAAGTTCCAGTGCTTTTTTTTCTTTTCTTTCTCTATCACTTTCTTACAAGGCAAATCCTGGGAGAGGTTGATGTAAGGACCAGGCAGAGCAGGGATGTGAAGAATATAAACTCAATTTTTTATTTTTTTTATTGTCCAGAGGGAAGTAGTGGGGATGGTTGGTTGGGGGGGGCAGGGAGGCTGGGCGGTGGGGGTCTGTGAAAAGAGACGAGGACCTTATCACAGCCCAGCAGCTCTGTAATTCGCCGCCATGATAAAGTGGCAGCACGGGAAACCTTACAAGGCTGGCACAATCCAAAGACGGATTAGGTTTTTCTGACATAAGCTTCCTGAAAAACTAATCAATCAGCCCATGCAGTATTATCAGAAGCCTGAGATTAAAGAGCTGCTCCTAATCCCCCCCCCAACTGTACATTTTATTACTCTTCCCAGTGTTAGTTGCCTTCAAATGTACAATAAATAAATAATAAAAGCAGACCTAATTGAGCATGGGCAAGGTGGAAAGGGTTAAAGAGCCCTTGGAGAGGGAATTTATGTACAATTTGTGTGTCTCTTATGAAGACAGGGATAGAACTGTTGTCCTTGTACTTTGAATAGAGCCCTCGCTGTTTTGCTCCAGCACTGCAGAGGAACAACACAAGGATGGAGGAAAAAAAAAGTCCATTTTCCACAACAAAATATTAGCCGCTTACTCTGACCCGAATCCACTTCGCATTTCCTCGATCGGAAACATTTCACACCTTAATTGACGGATGAACAGATTAAATAAGCGCTTAATAAATTCATAAATTGCCGTTGAAATGAAGGCTAAATCCTTGCGGGGAAAAATGACTTGTAATCCCTTGAATCGGTGCACATGCAAAGTTGCAGGGATGAACTCCCAAGTATGTGGCGGATCCGGGGGGGGCGAGACGTGTTCAGCTTTGTCTCTTCAATGCGTCACCCTCTTCTTGTCGGGACGCTTCCCGACCCCTGGGCGCCGTTTACGCGCGCAGAGGAGGCGGGTGCGTGCGTTTTTAACGCCGCCACTGATCCCCAATCGGGCAACGGGCCCCCGCCGATGCTTTGTCACGGCACGACATTACCGAGGAGCTCTCACCCGGGCCATGAGACACAATGGCACAATAGACTTTGTCAACGTCTCCCCGCACTTAATCCCGAGCGGCGGTGAGACAAAATAATAAATAAAACTCTTTTTCTGCAGGGCGGGACGGAGGGGAGATGGCAGAGCAGGGATCTCCAGTATGTTTTTATTTATTATTATTTTTTTCCATCTCCATCTACATTGTGCCGCTGTCATTGCACACGGGATAACTGCAGCAGATGTCATGGGGAAGAATGGATTCTCTCAGGATGGCTTTGACCCTCTTATTTGTCCCTGGGGTACGGCACAGATGCTATAAGGCCCGGGTTACATTTTCACCATTTGATTCATGTTCTGGGTGGGGGGGGTGGGGGGGCTTCTGTCCTAGTGGGTAGTGAAGATGTGAAAGAAAAGCAAGAAACATGTTTGTGTGTTGGCTTCATGGTTTGGGTGATGCTGCCACTGGACTAAAGGCTGCGAACACTCTGCTGAAAAAACACAGTGGAAAAGTATCTCTCAGTACAACAGGGGCCTCTGTTGTACTGAGAGAGATCCCACGGGTTAAAAGCTAGAATTGGAACCCGGCCTTATGTCGGCCCATTGGTATCCCTAGTTACATTCCTCATAGTAAACTCTGCCCCCCCTCCAAAAAATGAAGAAAAGACTAAGAAAAACAGCCTGCAGAGAGCGGCGGCCTGTTGTTTAAACATGTGCTACCCTTTGGGAGGCGGGGGGGGGTATTGATAATGGCCAGTATGTCACGGGTTCAGACCGAGGCGGGTCTGCTGGGAGGGGGGGGGGGGCGCTGAGGCCTTCCAAGGGGGGGGAAGCTCTCCCGGGATGCGGCCAGTCTGCGTCTCGGCGGGCAGAGCTCCCAGTAGGCGCGAGGCTGATTACAACAGCAGCCGGAGCAGGCAGCACAGTCCGAGGCTATCTTTAGAGGAGTCCTCCTTTGAGGATGGGACAGATGGGAAGAACGTCTTCAAACGTGGGGCATTTTCTGTCCGCGTCCCATCACATCATGTAGAGAGTCTACAGAGGGAGGACGACCACGATAACACTCACTTTTTATTCAAACTGCCATTAACGGCGGTTGAAGGAAGGAAGGAAAAAAAAAAGGGGGGAGGAACGACTTTTATATTTCCCCAAAGCTCCTGATCTGCCTTTGGAGAGCTTACTCCTTTAATAATAAAAGACTTAGAACACATACATATTCCAATCTGTGGTAAATACTTTTCATTTCACTGGTTTTCACAAGGACAGGAGATTTCATCACATTGTTTAAGCCATAAAGGAAAATCTGTGGGTTGTGCAATTTACACACTGTTCTTCTCAATTGTCATTTTTCTTAACAATTTTGTACATGTGGAAAGACACCTGGCGGGGGTGTGCGGGGTGGCACAGAGGTCAAACCTCGTTCAAGCCTGGAAGTAAAATAAATGAAAACCACGATGTAGCGGGTATTATGAATAGTTTATGAATAGGCCATGATGTACGTTAAAAGTCACCACTGTGGTAATAAAAACCTGCAAACAGATACATCTATATGTGCAGTGAATCTTTTTTAACTACAGGATCTCCACTCCTACATCAACACTGCAGGATTGGTCGTTATAATGTAATGAGCCGTCTGCTCACATTAGCTCAGAACATAATGTAAATGTTCTGTATAATTATACAAATAGACATGTATTGTCCTTCTAAAGGTGTCCCAGTAAATTTCATAATTAGAAATATAAGGAATACATTAATTTAAATGACTTTGTCGCAATGAATTGCATGTTGTAATTTACATTATGCCTTTTCATAAACAGTCACAATCAGAATTGACTCTTATGTATCTAAAATACGTTGTCAGCAAATATAGGCTGCAAAAATCAGGTGATTCTAATCTCTCTCTATATATTTAAACGTATCCATTAAAATATTGTACAACAAGTTTGAAGTTGTCACACTTCATGTGTTAATTTCCACCAACACATTTTCTGCCTGTCAAACAAAATCTGATACCAGGAGTTTTTGGAAGCTGTCATTGGCTTGAGGGATACATTTTACACCGCTTGCACTTTGTTGCAGGTCTAGAAAACCTGACAAATCAACAAAATGCTTAAATATGAACAATATATGATAAACGAGTAAATACTAACTAATTAAAACCAACAATAATAACTGTACAATAACGTGATTTACCAAAGAAGCAGATGAAGCGACTTATGAACTCTAACTTTGTTTTTCAAAACCTTCTTGCTAACAAAACTATTTCTACATATTCAGTTGTCATTCGAGAATCTCACACCTCACCTGGTGCAGGAGAAAGAGAAACAGGAATGTTTGCAGAGCTCTCATCTTCGACGACTTCTCGACTTATTCAAAACGAGCGGCGCTTAAATCCTTTCTGGAACATTTGGAGAGGCACAGACGCACATGATGTTGAAGCATTGCTGTGATCACCTGCGAGCGAAAAAAAACGTGTTCACCTGAAGACCCTTTGTTAAATGTGGGAGAACTTCAAGGATTGTCCATTTGATTCGTATACACAGAAGAACAATTCAACTTTTCCTTACCTTTTTTTTAAAATGTAACACCTCACTTTGTTGCAATCTCCCTTTGGGAAAGAGTCCTAAAAAGAGTCCTAAAATCCTCACAAAACGCCTCCTCTTCGGGGCGTTGAGTGAATTGTCCCCGAGCAGCTGGGCCACTTCTTGTAGTTCTCTACAAACACGGTGGAATCATCCGAAACAACATTCCTCTAAACCGCGAACCAAGCTGAACCGAAATAATCTGACGACTGTATCTGTGCGCCCTTTCTTCCCCCGCTAAGGTGTCTATGGAACGACGATGCGCGCGGTCGCGTGTACGGCAAAGTGACCCCGGATCCGAGTGACAGCACCCGCAGTGAGTCGACAGCAGTCCGCTCGCTGTGCGCGCTCTCTTCTGCTTCTACTTGGATTCGGTGCGCAAAATCCTGCGCCGTGCGTCTGGAGACTCCGAGATGAGCGCGCATCCGCGTGAAGCCTCGCTCTCTCCCTCCACGAGTCAAGTAACAGCCAACGGTGTCACTGTTATTGCGTTTTTTTCCGCGACACGTTCAGCGTTTTTAACCCTTCATTAAACGTCGTTTCGCTTCACTGGTGGAGCAAAGACCGTCGCCATGGCTACGGTGAACGTGTTGAGATGTGCTTTACTCTCTGCAGAATACATTCAAAACTTTTTTTTTCGTTCATTATTATTTTCAATGTGCATAATTTGAATTTCCAACTTGCAAACACAGTCCTATCGACAGGGAAAGTGCAGTACACAACGGGGAGGGGGCTTCCATTCACTTCTTGAAAAACAGGCTGATGAAGCATCCCTGACCACAAAGTGCACACGGCTGAAAGTCAAACGTTATAAGGTTGTCCATGCATTGTTTTACTGTGGACAAGTCCGGGATGTAAATATGCACGTGGCTTTGGCACCACCACGTGGTTGCAGCCAAACACCTCACTTTATGCACGCAGAAGACTTTGCAGTGGCAGTTTGCATTGTGCACAGAAAATGGTTAATCAATTCATACTTTCTGCAATTTAAATTATTTAATGGATATATTGTGCCCCGAGCGTTTGCAAGACTAATCATCGCGATCTTATTCCAACAAGTGAGCTTTAATATCTGTGTGGCAAAGGTCAAGGGGTTGTAGCTGTGTCAAAGGCTATGAGGCCATATAGGTCAAATATAAAGGGGAGACAATGAAACACAACAATGTTGCTGATTGCTGCACTCAAATCAATGTAAAGTATTTCCTTGCTGGGTTTTTCTTTCTGATCCCCATAATAGCGTTTTAAATCAACTGCAATGGCTGACACCTTTTTTTGTGGAAAGGTTGTAGGGTACGAATAAAACATCACCGACCAATTTAAAATGTAAAATTTGTTTGAATTACATACTGATTGAGACGTTTCAGTACAAACTATAGTTTCACTTAGTCATATCCAATACATAAAAAGTCGGGTTTTTTTTTACCATGTAGAGAAGTGGTATCAATCAATCAATCAATCAACTTTATTCCAGACACAGAGGTCCATAGAGAATACATACACATAAAAAACAACAATACAAACAACATTTAAGAATGATGCAGACTGTCACGGTGTGGTTCACTTCCTGTCTTATTTTGTAGTTTTCTGCCACTCGTGTCCCCGGGTAACTTCACTTCCTGCCTTGTCCCGTCATCCCCTGTGATCGTCTAATAGTTTCCACCTGTGTCCAATCACCTGCACCTCCCTTGTGTATTTAAGCCGTGTGTCTCTTGTGTCACTGGTCGCGTCATTGTCTTTCGTCGTGGATGTTCTTAGTTTCCTGCCTGCTGTTTTTCCCCTGGTTCCTGTGTGTTTTTGCCCCTTGGCCCTTTGATTTTCCCTTTTTGACAATTAAAGTCTTTTGTTTCCGGAGAAGTCTGCGTTTGAGTCCTGCCTCCTCCACGCATCCCTGACACAGACGAGGCATCATTTATAAAAACTTATACAGGCTTCAGGTCCAATATTTCCAGAAGCAAGATGTATACCTTGTGTCACTCTTGGAGACATCCACTAAGGACACAACAATCATATTCTTAGACCCTGTCAATCTGCACATGAATCTATACATAACATGTCTTAAAACAGCTTTAAAAGTGGGCACTTTATTGGACACTAACATTTCACTGGCACTATTCCACCTAGGGACTTTAGCACAAATTATCTGTGCATCATTATAAGCCACTTGAGGTTTTTTCATCTTCGACTTACTAAAATTACACCACAGGTGGGCAGTATACAGTGGGGCGCAATAGGTTCTAAAAGTGCACATGTGAAATTTGCGTGCCAGCATGTTCGCCTGCCCATACAATTTTCCACACTGACGCTGCACATCATCATCATCATCACACAGGTCATCTCTGATCACATGTCCTAGATATTTGACTTTCTTTACAACTTCTAGTGGTTCACCTGCCAATGAGAAAGAAGGATAGACACACTTGCATGCACACAAAAAGAGTTTGACAGGGAGTATTCCTTAAAATAAGACAAAAACATGTCACCTTTGTGTCATTTTAAAGCCTGAAGACTCACTCACACGACGGTCTGCACTCTCATTCTGCTATTTATTTAAGGTTATTAAATGCAAGCAAACTGTGGCAGATCACTTTGGTAGAATGGCCGCGCTGAACTGAGCTCTCGGTTCCAAACTGGAGTCCCGACCAAATCTCATTAGAACCTTTTCAATTGAATCTGACTTTGAGTAGAAGCAGGAGGAGAATGACTAGCTGCCTATGTACTCAATGTTGATTTTAATATAATAAGCTTGAATGTAAAGACCACTACAAACACTACAGTCCCCTCAGTTTGCATGAATATGATATTTGGAGATGTAGATTTTGAAGCAAAACAAGAAGATCTCATGTAATAGTTTATAGTACCTTTAAAACTAAATCAGCAATAGAGTTTGTTATTGAAGGCTCTTTTTTGTACGTTCTCAAAGCACTTTAATCAGATGTTTCTGTTATTTATAATATTTTAAAATATTATATTAAAATGATTCCGTGAATGGAAATACGTCTGCCATAAAATGCTCAACATCTGAACACATCCCATACAAACTGTGCAAGTAAATAGACAAATTACCAGATCGGAAATTATTTTTTTTATTAATTTGTTACGGTCAGTTATAATTAACAGGCAGCAGTTTGGCTGCTAAACGATAAATACGGTATTTTTTATTTTAAACGGCACATATCTTCAGGTAGTCATAAGGTTCTCAGTCTTGCTCATTTTTCTAACTTATCACGCTTAATGAGCATGTTAGAGTTGTATTTGTATGAACCTTTGTTCCGCTTTTATGACACCCTGTCGAGGATTTAGACATAACGTGTTGTTTGCAGCTATAACTATTAATTACATGTCACATAGTAACGATAGCGTATCCTGCATTTCAAAGTGCACCATTACTTAATCTCTAGAGAGAGTCGCAATAAAGAGGTTATCCTGTAAAATATATATTAAGACTGCAGACTGGCAACCGGCAGATCGTGTTTGAGCCCATTGTTCAAGACTCAAGCCGACCGACGGGTCTCTGCCATCTCCAACCCAGGAGCAGTTAGGTACCAAACAGCCTGCTCGTCCCCTCAGCCTGCTGCTCTCCAATCGGCCTCCCTGTTGACCTTTGTGCGTCTCCCCGATCGGGGAACCAGCTCCAGGTGAATCTCTTCCCCCACATGATCCCGATCCCCAACTGCAGAGAATTTACAAACAAGGCCAATGTTGGTCTTCACTGTAATCAAAGCACAGGGCTGAACAACCAGGATGCCACACACTCCATGTCTGTATAGAAGAAACAAGGTGCCAATACCCGAGAGACATCAGGTTGTGGTCTTGCGTTAAATTAAAACGGACACTGGGACTGACAGAAGCCAGGATCAGGATTGTGTTTTATAGCTTTTCAAGTTCACACGAGTTTCACGACTCTGCAACAAGTAGATCACAGGAACTTTGGGGCGCCCTCCCCCTGAACCCCGCAGATTTGACTGGGAGGACTTTTGAATGCTGTTTGATCGTCTAACACGTCTAACAATCTCTCGTGGTTGAAGCGAACCGAAGGCTTTCGATGAAATCAACACTAGAAGTTAAACCGTGACAGTTATAAAGTTAGTTAGATGGCATGTGACCTACTTCTTTTGGCAGGCGCTGAAATGTTAAGAAGCGGCACAGGCTTAGACCGGATTTTCCAGATTTAACCATTCTGGAAAGTGTTTTTTCAAAAAGAAAAATGTTTAAGTATGAGGTTGAAAACAGTGAAAATAAGCGGTAAGTTCTGGCTTTCATCTGTCAAATGATATGCCAGGACTCCACAGTTAGCTGTTCACACCGTGACGGTAAAGACAGCACATTCTCGCTTTTGTGAGTTTGAAGGTGTTGATTTTATTTCGTTCTGATAGTCTTCTAATAATTATTCTCTTTATTAATTTATTTTGACTGAGCTAATTACCCACTCAAATTCGCAATCAGTTGATTTCATGGCGTTTTTCCTGGGACACAGCACATTTTAACCCAGGGTAACCCAAGGGTTACGTCATTGTTTGTGTGTCATCACCCCCCTCCAAAGAGGAGGGCGTTGGTGTCCGATTACGACTGGCTTCGCACGCTATCCGCCTTTTATCTTTGGTTGAAGATATGCATGTGCGTGTGACTGTAGTGGGTAAAAAGAAGTTGAAAAAGAGGTCACACGCAGTGGCCCATTGTATGCATGCGTGTCTAGTTTTCTAGGTGAAGGGAGAGGAGGAGCAGCCAAAGTAAATAGAGGACTTTGCACCTATGATCAGGGAGCACAAGCTGCATACTTGCACAACCGCATCGCCACTTGCAGGTCTTAAATACAGTTAAAAACCACCCTGGTGAGATTAAAAAAATCAAATATGAATGCAAAAAGAAATTGCAGTTATTGTAATTAGAATGAAGGTAATCAAAAATAAGATTTTTGGGATAAACATACTGATTCAACATTCCATGGATCTCACACGCTTCAGGAACACAATGAATCACAACTTACAATGTACACGAAACGAAATGTTGCACTATGTAATCATGAATATGTCGAATGTAAGTGAACGTGCAAAGACCCGACGAGTGCCTCAAGTGAATGATTATCCAAAAACAAACACAGGCCAATTCCACTGGGAATCTCCACTCACTCTGTCTTCCTGCGGTTACGCAACTTCCTGCAGCATAACACACACACACACACACACACACACACACACACACACACACACACACACACACACTCTCCAACTCTCCCCCCCCCCACACACACATATAGCTATACCTCCTACCAGCAGCATTCACTGGCTCTCACGGCGAGCAAGCTTGCACAACCGAAAGGAGGCAATGAGCGGCGAGGTGTGGTTTCCTGCACTGGGGCTGGTGGCCTGGCTGTGCTGCCTCAGTCTGGGGCCCGCACAAGGGGGGAAGGTACTGGTTGTGCCTGTGGATGGGAGCCACTGGCTCAGCATGAAGATACTGGTGAAGGAGCTCAGCCACAGGGGCCACGAGGCTGTTGTGCTGGTGCCCGAAACCAGCCTGTTGATCCACGGCTCAAAGAGCTACAGGACTGAGATGTA